GTTTTTTTTTTTTTTTTTTTTTTTTTTTTTTTTTGGGGGGGGGAGGTGTGGAAGGAACAAGTAACTCGTATGTTAATTATTTCACTTAAAGGATGTGATTGTTATTTTATTCATTTGGGAATATGAAAGAATAAAAGTTACTGGTCATCTTGTGTTTACTATGAAATGCAGAATAAACTAGAGGTCAGAAGGTTAGACTATTATATCCAGTGACAAAACTCACCCAAGATATGCATCAACTTACTCAAGACAAATCTCAAAGCACTGAGTGCTTAAAATTACAATTTGAAAGACCTTTAAGTCAAAGTGTAACAGAAACAGTTTAAGAAACACAGTATTAGGAACTAGGATCTTTGAAACAACCAAGTTTGATAACACTTGTTTTACCATTAACATTTTTCTGAAGAATAGAACTGGTAAGCATTCCTATTCTGAGAGAAATTTTCTTGAAATATGTTTGTGCCCATGAAAAAATACTGAAGGGGAATAACTGGAAGCCCTTTCAAAACAGTTGTGTTCTTGTACAATCCAAAACTTTACAGTAAGCTTTTCACTACTGAAATAAAGACGCTTAACCCTGTAAGATGAACTAAGGTCATCTATGGAACACGGCCCATTTTTTTTTTCTCCCCAGTATAAAAGTTAGTGCCATTTTTAATATGGAACTAAACCCACTGGGTATCTTCCCCAAGCAGTAACTAACAACTTTTTTTTTTCCACCGACACAGATATCAGATACATCTTCTTAGACCTTAATACATCTATTTCAGAAACATCCAACTTCGGAAATGATAGCAAGAGGTCAAAAGTTAAAAGTAATTGCAAAAACAGTACTAAGTTTTCCATCACAGCACAAAAAAGCTTCCCAATATATCCCTAAGGTACAAGCCAGACTTAGAATCGGCAAAGCAACAGGAATAAGAGAAACAATACACTCACCTCTTTAAATTCTGCTTTTAGTACACAGTGTCCTAGTGTTGACTGCCACTGAAGTTTCCTACCACTGTGTTTTCCTAAATAAAATGTCTTGAAAATCTCCTGCAGTTTTACCATCTAAAAAAAAGAAGAAACCCAAAACACTAAGACAATTTCTCCTTTAAAAGCATCCTTCCCTCCTCCACAATCAAATAAGCCTTAAATAAAGGCTTAGAAAGATGAAGGGAATTGCAAGAAAAGAAAACAAACTCTATTTAAAAAAAGACACTTCTGCATTTCTTTCTAGAGATTATACGCATATTTAAAACCAAGTTGCAGTTGATATCAAGACGGATTACTGATAGGCTGATACTTGGTATAATACATGTATCATCATTACCTCTGGGGGCAAATGGACCTCCATAGGCACGTAGGTTGGCCAATAACCCATAGTCAGAATATTCACTGTTAGTTCAATGTTGCCAGGTACATTCTGGTTTTGCATATACTGCAGAAAGAAACAAAGTAAATTGAAATAAAGGAATGTTTATTAAACATATTTCAGGTAGAACTGAAAAGTTAGTTAGAACAGGCATTACGAGAGCACAGAAGACAAGTCACCTTATGATGTCTTTGCTATATAAACTGTGAGTTACATACAAGACAATTAGGATAAGAAAAAGCACTTTTCTGAAGTTTTAAAGGCACTTCCATACAGGGAGAAAACAGCAAAAGAAGTGTTCTAGCAGGCTGATGTGAAGATGTACCACCTAATTATGTGTGAATGGAGGAAAGAATGTTAAAATTTGCTTGTAATCACAACATTACAGAACTACTAAAACTAATAGGCAAAAACTTACAAGCCAGTCCATCAGAATACAGTGGTTTTAAAAATGTTTTATAACTGGTGTTAAAATGTTTTATAAGTTTACAATTCTTCTTTTATTACTGCAGGTGTTTGTGGGTTTTTTTTTTGTTTGTTTTGGTTTTTTTTAAAAGAAGCTTCTTGTTTCAGGTTTTTTGCTTTGTTGTTCAGGAAAACCATTAATAAATTCAGTAAAATTTTCAAAAGCATAGAATTAAGAAATAGATTCCGACTGATTTTCAGTAGACACTGTTTTCCCAGTTGGGCTTTCGTCCACTCCTTTTGAAAGCAGTCACCTACAAAGTCCTTTTCTCCATAGTGAAAGAACATTACAGACCACTGGAATAATTCAAAAGGAGTTTAACTCAATTACAATAGAAATGTTCACAACTGAAGACATCCTGCACCCTCTCATTAGGCTTTCTGAGAATAACTCATTCAAAAAGCAAGTAAATGAAGGAGCCATGGCAGGCTTTCCTGCAGTACCTGTTTAAATTGTATCATTATGTCTTTTGAAAGCTCCATATCTTTAAACATTCCTTCAAGTTTGCTGGTGAAAGCAGCTCCACATTCTATAAAAGAGAAAATTTAAATCTTAAAAATTAATCTTGTTTATTTTCAAGACCATAGAGTAGTTATTCTAAATATCAGAATGTACTTTGAAGCAAGACAACCTATTTCAGCATATGTTCTTACATAAAGACCTGGATTCTAATTAAGATACAGAATAAGGTTATAAACAAGAAGGGGGAAAATGTTTTAATGTGGCAGCTATTTTGCAACCCAACTGTTTTTCCATGTGGACATGACTGTTCATCTTTAAGACTCCACTGGCAACCTGTCACTCAGACAACAATTCTAATCCCTATCAGCTGCCTGCCAAACTGTCTCTTGATGGTAGAACAACATCAAGTTCCAAAAATCTTATGCTTACCACTCAAAAGACTCCATCCTATGAAACAATGAAGACCAGACTAGAAGACTGCTAGCTGGCAGCTTCATGTTTCAGACCTTATACAGAGTGAACAACAAGCAGAAGTCATCCTCAAGTTCTCTGAGCACATCACTGATTTATTCAGCAGGGAACCTCAACTCTATCCCACAGGCCAAGATAAACCATGCACTTTAAGCTCCTGTTTTTTGGCTATTGCTGCTGTAATTACAAAACTAAAAGCAAATGAATCTCCTCAAAACCCACCAGTCATTCAAGACTTGCACATGAGTTTTTTGCCCTCACGCAAAGGGGAAATACAAACAGTTACAAGCCAGTCCATCAGAATACAGTGGTTTTAAAAATGTTTTATAACTGGTGTTAAAATGTTTTATAAGTTTACAATTCTTCTTTTATTACTGCAGGTGTTTGTGGGTTTTTTTTTTGTTTGTTTTGGTTTTTTTTAAAAGAAGCTTCTTGTTTCAGGTTTTTTGCTTTGTTGTTCAGGAAAACCATTAATAAATTCAGTAAAATTTTCAAAAGCATAGAATTAAGAAATAGATTCCGACTGATTTTCAGTAGACACTGTTTTCCCAGTTGGGCTTTCGTCCACTCCTTTTGAAAGCAGTCACCTACAAAGTCCTTTTCTCCATAGTGAAAGAACATTACAGACCACTGGAATAATTCAAAAGGAGTTTAACTCAATTACAATAGAAATGTTCACAACTGAAGACATCCTGCACCCTCTCATTAGGCTTTCTGAGAATAACTCATTCAAAAAGCAAGTAAATGAAGGAGCCATGGCAGGCTTTCCTGCAGTACCTGTTTAAATTGTATCATTATGTCTTTTGAAAGCTCCATATCTTTAAACATTCCTTCAAGTTTGCTGGTGAAAGCAGCTCCACATTCTATAAAAGAGAAAATTTAAATCTTAAAAATTAATCTTGTTTATTTTCAAGACCATAGAGTAGTTATTCTAAATATCAGAATGTACTTTGAAGCAAGACAACCTATTTCAGCATATGTTCTTACATAAAGACCTGGATTCTAATTAAGATACAGAATAAGGTTATAAACAAGAAGGGGGAAAATGTTTTAATGTGGCAGCTATTTTGCAACCCAACTGTTTTTCCATGTGGACATGACTGTTCATCTTTAAGACTCCACTGGCAACCTGTCACTCAGACAACAATTCTAATCCCTATCAGCTGCCTGCCAAACTGTCTCTTGATGGTAGAACAACATCAAGTTCCAAAAATCTTATGCTTACCACTCAAAAGACTCCATCCTATGAAACAATGAAGACCAGACTAGAAGACTGCTAGCTGGCAGCTTCATGTTTCAGACCTTATACAGAGTGAACAACAAGCAGAAGTCATCCTCAAGTTCTCTGAGCACATCACTGATTTATTCAGCAGGGAACCTCAACTCTATCCCACAGGCCAAGATAAACCATGCACTTTAAGCTCCTGTTTTTTGGCTATTGCTGCTGTAATTACAAAACTAAAAGCAAATGAATCTCCTCAAAACCCACCAGTCATTCAAGACTTGCACATGAGTTTTTTGCCCTCACGCAAAGGGGAAATACAAACAGCACTTCTGGGAAGGCCTGTTAAAACAACTATTTTTAAAAGAAAGCAAGCTGATAAGATAGATTGATAGATAGATAGATAGATAGATACTTACCATGTTTGAGTTTGGAAAGCATAGATTTTTCAGCATCTACTGATGCACTCTTCCCAACTAATAGTCTCTTTGCTAGATCTTTTTTATAAAAGGCCTCAAAGACATCTTTTCCTGTAAGAGATGAGATTTGACAGCGATCACAAATCATTGTTTGTTTTAAACAAACATTACCTACAAGAGGCCCAATTCAAAGCTCAGTAAAGCTAACAAGGGCCTTCACATTAAGATTTCCACAGATTTTGGCTCAGGTCTTGTTATCGGTATTTTAATATGCAAACTAGTTAAACAGCACTACACCAGCAAACTGCATCTACAGAGAACAAACACTTGAAAATGCAGACAGAGTGCAAAAATTATTTCAAAGCACCTTTACGTTACTGATTAAACAACTGTATCCGCACAAAAAAAGCAATACTTACCATATATGAATCTAAATATGATCATAATTTTATCCAGCATTTTTTCAAGTTCTTCATCAGTAGCTTCTTTGTTGCCTGCACGAAGCTTTGAATCTACATATTTAGCTAAAAGAGTGTTGAGGAATAAAAAGTTTAGCGTATGCTTAGTATCACAATGAAACAATAATTTTTTTTTTTTTTTTAAATCTAATATTGTGAAATCTTTTGGAAATGTAAAGGATCCTGAAATTACCTTCAAATCAGTTTCATCACAGCTAGCTTGATATAACTTTATAGCCTCTATGAAAATATAAAACCATTATAGCCTAATCTCTTTTTTCAGATAAGCAATTACTGCTTCTTATTAGCATACATAATGTTAAAAAAGATTTTTGCGTATGTAAAAAATCCTGGTCCGTATTATGATCTCAAAGTAAAAAGTGACTATTGCTATAGATTGACATGGCTATAATGGAAGCAAAAAGGTCAGAAGAAAAACACGTAAACCAGTTATTTAAGTGTGTTGACTATACTGCTGAATTTCTCTAGCAGATTACTGTTTGTTTTAGTTTCAAATGGTTTGGTAAGCACATTACAGTTAGTGAATTAATTTAAAAAAAAGGAGGGCAGAAAGCATTACTCCACAAGCCTAACAGCACAACAGACTGCAAAGCAGGTATTATTCACTGTGTGGGGAAATGATTAAGGTATTCAAAAGCGCAGAGAGCCAGGCTCGTAACGCACAGATCTGTAAACAACGTTCTTTGCAAACTACAGAGGCTCTGCCCCCTTAACACGAGAGGTACAGTGCATCCTCATCTCTCTTCACTTTTATATATTAAAACATAGGTATCTATGTAGAGCCCCTAATAGCTCTGTGCACGTGTTGGTGGCACAGTTATGTAAGCTTCTGAAAAAGTCAAATTATTAGCAGTATTCTCACATCCGGACACCAGTCAATTGCTGGAATGCCTAAGTTCTAATACTCTTCACTTTTCCATAGCCTAGCCAGTGAACTGATGAATAGAGCTTGTTCTTAACGTTCAATGCTATCCTATCAAATAACTCACTTGCACAATAAGGCACAGTAGATCCCCAGTTTGACAACGCATTGTGCGGAACGTCTTTTAACACACAATTCCATCATATCCCATCTGTAAGCTGCATCAGCTCTTGTCCCCCACCCAAATTCTCACATGGGAAGAAACTGAAGAGAAATACCTATGAGTTCAGCTGGCTTATTTGGTCTTTTGTTAATGAATGTTTCAAAGGCTTCTTTCATGGCATTTACAAACTTCTCATTCTTGAGAAAGCAAACATCAATAATATGGTCAACTTTGTCTTTAAAATCAAGTAGTTCTTGGACCATGGTTTTGTCTTTTTCTGGATTAATTACTATGGTGCTACCAAATGCCTGCAAAATAAAACATATCTTTCAATTAGCCTGAATAATGGATTTAAATGACAAGACTTCTGAAAGCCTAAGTTATCTTTGTGATGTCTTGTTTCTGGTATTCACATTAGTTCCACTAACACTGTAGAAGTAATAGCATTATGAAGTATTTACTATATGACCATTCCTAGACCTTGTATGTTGATTCAAAACCAATCTATGAATAAGCGAACAGATTCAGAACTTTTGTCTGAAGAAATAAACTTAAGCGTGACAAATTAACACACCCTTTTTAACCATCTATATCCTCAGGTTTTACACAAGTAAAGCTCCCACTATACTCAACTTTATTTAACAGCACTCCTATGCCATTACAAAGCCTTCCTTCACAACAACCATACTTTCTGTGACAACGTTTTCACTGAGTAATAAGGTGAAACATCTTAAGTGATATTCAAGTGCTTTTTGAACTTCAATTGGTTGGTAACTTAAGCTACCACTCATTCTGACGAGAAATTTTAGCAGGGAGAAGACAGAAATGTTCTGCCATACCCAGAATGTCTATTGGAGAAATATAGTTGTCCCCCACAACTAACTATAAGCAAGATAAAACCTCCAAATTTATTTGGAGTTCAATAATTCAACTGAATGTTCAATATTTTCTTCGATAGGGCTAGAACAGTTACTGTACTTTTCCTAGTACAGTTTCAAAAGCTGCCCATTAAATATATGTTTATAAGCAAGTAATCTTTAATTCTTAGAAAAATTCAATAGTTTACAGACATGACTCAAATATCTGTGTATAAACCCCATCGATACAAAAGAGGTATCTGTTCCAGAGTTCTAGAGACAGTACCTTTATGTACTCTATCCAGTGTTGCAAGAGAACCTGTACTCCGCCTCTCACACGACTGAACAACTGATACAGAAGAGACAGGTCTTGAATTCGATTTTCATCAAGAAGGTGGTTTAAACCTACAAATGAGAGAATTTAAATAGAAATTAAAACCAGAGTAATCCAAAGAAAGCGCAGCATATTATTACAGTAAGGGACCTCTTCAAAGCTAGTATTTTTTATCAAGCAATTAGTGGTGGGGGGTTTTTTTGAGTGTTGTTTTTTTTTTTTTTTAAGCTACCTAATCTAACAGTGAAACACAGAATGGCTACCTGAACTGGGTCAAACCTTAAAAACCTGGTTATTGCACTGGATATCTTAGGCTACATGTACTTTACATAACATACTTATCACAACACCTTTGCTTGCTTGTGCTTTACTATTCCCTAAAGATTTGAAAAGTTTACGCTCTACTGATCTGAAGGAAAGGTTCTTTGGCAAGACAGAGCTCTGAGTCTCAATTCCAGCTGTAAAATAAATTTTACAGATGTTTGAAGGCAAGCAGCTTCAAGAAATATCTTCACCTTTCACTTTTTAACTTTTTGGCAGAGAAGGCCTGATGCTTCTTAGCAAGGTTCTAAGGAAGTAGATGGGTAAATATTGCACTCCTCTCAATAAAGAGTCTGTTACAGATGTGCAGGAAGATGCTCACATACCTGTTTCATCCAGAATCTGGCAAGTAAGGACTTGATCATTTTCTTTTATTATTCAACTCTTGCTGCACCCGCATCTATTTCCAGACCATCCCTCAGAACAAGAGGGTCACCTGACTCCACAGAGACTATTGCAGAACTGAGGCAATGTACTTCATTGCTCAAATGGTACTAATTTTTTAAAACAAGCTGCTTTTTGTGAGCAGTGAGTAATCAGTGTTTCCCCTTTCTGGTACAGCCATAATTTGAAGGCTACTCCTTTACCTCCGAGTCTTCAAAATGCTATTTAACATACTGAACTCAAGAGTCCCCTATTCTAGTTTTCCTTTTGCTTTGCTGTGTATCTGAAGACAGCATTGTGTCTCCTTAGCTCTGACAAGGAGAATGGTACTTGCCCTCCTGTAAAATGGTCAATGCTATTTCATGAACTGAGTAGCAAAGGGCGTTAAAGAATGATGTAGCTTGTGTCCTCCCCCAGCACCTGAATCTGTCACTTTCTTTTTCAGCACAGGAATTGAAAGCCCCGAAGCAGTAATTAGAAACATTTCTATAAAGAAGAAAGATTACCTTTCTGAAGAATGGCTGTTAAATGTTCACCTAGAAGTTGCTTTTCTACAGTAGCAATTAGTGGCTTCCTATAGAAAAAACGTTTACAATTACTTTTCCTTTTCCCATTATTGACAGTTTTAAATCCTTTTTTTGAGATTATGTTAACTACACTTGTAATTAGGAATGCTCTAATTATCTGTGGCCAAGGACCTAAAATGATTATACACGTATTTATCCTTTTCCCTCCCCACTAAGCAATCTTTTTTCCTGTTTGCTGACTGAGGATTTAATTCACACAATAAGCCTGTTGTACATGACCTCTAGGCAGCTGGACAATGATTCCATCAGTGAAGAAATTGGGCAAAAGTTTGTCAAAGAATACACCTTCTCTTGCTTTGTGGGAGAAGATTCATGTCTTGGGAGACAAACCAAGGAGAAGAAAAAACACACCTCATGAGTCAAGAGGTATGAAAACAAAATAGGGAGTTGGCCACTAACAATGGTGTGGAAGAAGGAAGCCACTAAACAAGCTAAATGTTTTTAACAGCTGACAGAGGAAGGAAATAAAAGTGTATGACAGTAGCAATAAAACACCTTCCTCTCAGAGATCCTCTGTACTTGCTCTTTAAGAAGTTGCTACCACTTGCTCGAAGAGTTTTGTTATATTAGTGACCTACATTTTCTCTCAGACACAACAGCTGGGGCTTTATGTTAGGAGAACATTTCCCCTGTCCTACCCGTGATGACCTCCACTTGACTGTATTTGAGGAAATCCTGCCTCTAAGTAGAAAAGATTGAAGAGTGACATTAGTCAGTAATTTTCCAGACTCTATAGAGAATATGCAAATACTTTAATGTAAATATTCAGAGCCTTTAGCTTGAGAATTCTCTATCCTGTAGGGATACCTACCTCTATCAGGTAGGATGACAGCTGATTAATTGCATTTCAGCAAGAAAGAGACGTTTGGACTGGGGGTGGCAGCCTATTTTTCTCCAACCAAATGCCCAACAACATTTATGTCAAAATAATTAGTGGCTTAAAAGAAAAGGATATTAGCTGTGTGAGCCAAGACAGTGCTTCATTGTAAACCAGGAATTGTGGGAACTGAGAAGCATTTGATGGTCAGTCAATAACTGAATTAAATTGTAGCTATTAGATGGCCTTCAACAGAAGAAGAGCCAAACAGCTAACAATACCAAGCAAAGAGAGATTGCACTTACTGTGTGCTCTGATCTAAGTAAGTGATTATCCTGTCTGCCTCTTCTTCCAAGCGCTTGTTGACATGGTGAAGATATTCTGGAACCTGAAAATGCCAGAGTAGTTTTGTATGTTTAAAAAAAATCAAGAGGGGGAAAAAAAAAAAAAAGACAATACTGGTCTGACAGAAGCAGCAGCTCCAGTTTTAAGCAGAAATCATTAGCACTGTGACTAAAGGCAACCGCATGTGAATTTGCTTTTTCAGAGTACTATAAAACACAAAGGTCACATTATTGCCCTGTACGCTGGCTAAGGCAGCAGAATAGTTCCTCTCCCTGACAAATGCTTCGTCATTACGTGTAACAAATATGGTTAAACATTCAAAATACCTCTCGTTCCTGCATAAGCCTCTGTCCCTCTGCTGCATACAGGCGGTTAGTCTCTTCCAAGAATCTATGTTCGAAAGAGTCTTGATAAATCTAAGGAAACAACACAACAGCAGTCCAGGATAAAGCTTACTGAGCACTAAATAAGAATCTGAGCTGTTTATTGGTTTAAAGGTGAAACAAGTTTACTCACCTGCAAGTCAGAAAGCATGCTTAGAAGGCTTCGAAGTAAACTCCTATCGATAGCCTCACCATTTCTTTCCCTCTCAATCAGCAGAAGAATGCCATCAATAGTTTTGTTCTGAACCTTCTGATCACTGATTATATGAGTTCTGAACAATTCTAGCCCCATATCCCTAAAAAGAAAATAAAGACTGTTCAATGAATTGCGTAAGAATCAACCCCAAATATTCTCTATTAATAAAATTTGATCTAGATCCAAGAGAGACCAATAAATACTAGCATTCTTTAAATTCCTCATTCCTCTGCCCCCAAATCACTCAAGATGAACAAACACATAAACACTAAAATAAACCATGACAAAGCATCGACAGCAAGCTACAGATTTTAAAGACCAAAGCACGTATTTTTTCCTAAATAACCACCTAACTTTTGCAGTGTCTTTATTTTTCACTTGGTTGGCAGGATGATGGAAACTGAATAAACAGCAGCCTTCACGAGAAAACGATAACGCCGCCCTGGGTCCCAATTCCATGGTTAAGCTGTTAGACATATTTTTTTTTGTCCATCACTTTCTAATCTCTAATTCTTAGGCAGAGCTTAGAAGACTTCAGTGATGTGAAAGACAAGGGTCTCTGCTTTGGGCATCCCAGTTAAAACCTTCCATGAATTTGAAACTGTGGGTCTGGACACTTTTAGGAAAAGCCAGGCCCTCCATCCACCACTCCTTCAATCTCTGGCAAAGTAATTCAGGTAGTGCCAAAGACACTGTAGGGCATCTGCTCATTATTAAAATATTGGGGGGAGGTTGAAGTCCAAAAGAGAGTAACTTGCTTTTATTTTAGGTAACTTTTTCCTTCAAAAATACTTACAGAACTTTGAATGCTATGCATGTTAAAGCTAGTAACTGGGCAACCCAAACCCTCGCACTTCAGTTGTTGAGCAGGCCCTTTCCTTTTACTGTGCAAACTGGAGGCTGATTATCTACTCAGCTGAAATTTGCTATCACAGCTATTCTAGAAGAATCCTGAAATTCATGGCAAATAAATTAAAAGTGAAATCTCCCCTTGCAACAAGCATGTATGCATTCACCATCTAATTTACAGGTCACTAGAAAGTTTATATTAAAATAAACCCTGAAAATCAGCAAGATATATGTGATAATTTAAATATACCCCCCATAATTTTATTCTTTGTGCTCTCACCAAATAGATGGCAGCATTGAGTTCTGAAGTACGTAAGTTCGATCCAAGAACAAAAAGATACTTCTAATCATAATCTGTAATGACAAGGAATAAAAAAGCCACAATCATTTTACTCTTGAAATTGAAGAGCAACACAAATTACGTTCAATAACAAAAAAAATCCCACTGACAGGTTTCAGGCAGCTCTTTCTTAGACAGTGTTGATTTGTTTAAAATATTCTGCCAATCTCAGTGAGATGATCAATGCGACATTTAGTATCTTTCTGTATAAAAGAATAGGTCCTTTTATAACAGGTACAAAAGGAGAAAGGTTTGCATAGAAACAACAGTTAGGAGTTGGGGGTGTGTGTCCCCAAGGTCAGAACAATGTGTCAAGAAACACACTACAGACAAGTATTTTCAAGGCTTGATTTCTAACAAACTAGATACAGTTGTATTTCACAAAGAAGCCTCATATAAATTTAAGACAACATTTCAAAAGCACAGTATATTTGTAAAGGAACAAAGTTAAGCAAAACATAGGCTGACTAGGCAACTGGTTTTCTTTAAAAAGATAAAAAACTTACCATTTGTCTGCAGTGATCTTGCCAGCATTTGTCTATTTTCTTTAGAAAAAGGACACTATCCAATGAATCCATGAAGAAATCATTAAGAAAATTATGATTAATAGGTAGCGTTAGCGATGAAATGAACCAACTTTTTTTTTTAAACGATACTTAACAGAGAGCACAACAAACTCACCTACTCCCAAGAAGAACCAGTTAACTTCTTGCAACATGTTTATTTTTATTTTTAATGAGGGTCCTTGTGTTAACAATGAGAAATCAAAATGATTTGAATGATTTAAAAAAAAGGATCTAAATACATTTGAATGTTTTGTCTAATCCCCCATCCCTGGGGAGTGGAACAAATATACATACCCCCACACCTCAAAACCCAACAATCCACAATACACGTAAGAGCCCACCACTACACAGATACTATAATTTCAGCTCATGTTATGAGAGAACCTTAAGAGATAAATTTTGTTCTTGAAATTTAACTTGTATTCAGTTCACTGCATAGTTCTGGTACTAATTAATATCCACTTAACAGGATCTCAATCTGATGCAACTCAAAACTTCTGAAAATAAAACATTTTGATCCACAGAACCACTAATATTGTATGCTGCCAGACCACCAGCACTTTTCAAAAAGAAAACAAGAACTACTTGTTGGAAGACTTTTCTGTTTCTGAGCATGGCAAAATCAGCATATAAAAAAACCCTGAAGTGACAGAGCCAATACAGCCTTTTTAAGCCTTGCTGTAAGTCTAACGTGAGCTTTTGTAAGATGTCAAAGTGTTTCATAAATACCAATGAAACTCTCTCACAAACTTTTCAAATGGTTACAGACATAAAGGAACTAGTAGTGTTCTCTGAGGTCCCACAAAAAAATGAAAACAGACCCAATTATGCAAAAACTAGGAATTCAGATTACCACGGCCTACTGTCACGAACTAGTCAAAGAAATCCATCACCACATTCTGGCAGGTAAAAACGTTTTGGTTTGTCAACAACAAAAAAAAGGATATTCTCTGAATTGGTGAATTTGTGCTTTAATGTGGTCTTCACAGATCTGTCTCAATTGTTTGTACAAGTTTGCAGAAATCTTGTAGGAGCAGAGATTTTCAACAGCCTGAAGTAAAGAGAAACAGATACTAAGAAATCTATTTATATTCTTATATGTGGTTTTACAAGGAAAGCAGGGAAAAAACCCAAAACAAACCATGGTATTCTTCTGCTTCTCACTCAAAAAATCTACCAGCTTTTAATTGTAACATAGTTAACAGCTGCATGCAAAACACTACAGAGACATGGCACTATAATGGTAATAAGAGACAAAGGAAGGCCATGCCCTGAACAGCTTACAGTTTATTAATTTCAGCTGGAGTACCGATATCTCATAAGGAACTGCAGGACTTGCATCTCTAAGAACAAGGATGTTAGTTTAATATGTTCCAGCAGCTTGCTGGGTTTCATACTTCAAAACAGACACTTAAGGTCTCAATTTTATTAACTGCTGTGCTCTGCAAGTCACACTAATATTAGTAGAAAAGCACTGCTAGTGTTATTTCCTTCGCAGTCCTTTCTTTGATTAAGCTTCCCTCATCCCCAAAAGTACATACATACACACATTTTTTATATATATTTCTCTCCATCCATCAACACCTTGCCTGAATAAGTTTAGTTATAATCCTGAACAATTTGCAGTAGTATGACTACATTCCAGACGTTTACAGTGACAAATCTCAGATTTCTAGATCATAATCAAGTATTAGAAGAATTGTCGCTGTGCTTCACAGCAAGAAGCGAAAAGAAGTTTAATGGGGACATGTCTTGGAGATTGATTAAGCAAACAAGCATTCCTAAGTCCATAAGCGTAACTCAAGACTTTTCCAAAATTTATACCAATTGCCCAGATTTGGAAAGCAACTGAGCAACTTTAACTCTTTGCGGATTGGCAAAAGACACAGTATGTGATCATTCTGTAAAACATTTGTAGAAGCTAGAGAGGAGAGGTATATATGATTTTCAACTAATGCCTTTCAATTTTCAAGTTTGTTCCCCAGCAAATGCAGGCAACCACGCAGGGACAGCGTAGTTCAGAAGTATACAGAGCAGATCTACTCCATTACACTGAAGTCCCCCAGGATATTTCCCAACAGTCCAAACAGAAGCTACTGGCAAACAGCAAGCGGCCACCACTAAAAGCGCAGCAACAATCAAAACAGCTAAACAAGGAGTTCCTCAGTTTATCTTAGGATATCAACAGTAATCATTCTCAGTATCAACAGTAAACAACCCTCTAGAGCAAGTGCACTACAGCTAATACTGGCTCTAGGACACGGAGGAATTAAAAAAACCAAAACCCCACAAAAAACAAAACCCCACCAAAAAAAAAAATCCCACACAACAGTAACAAAATAAAAAAAGAAAACCAAACCTGCATAAGCCTACTGTCAGAAACAAACAGGTATAGCAAGAGAGTGAGTGTGCCAATTAAGGGTAAAACAGATCTGAATGATGATTATTAGGAAAGCCAGAATTACCACTGAAGTGTACATATCTTAATATTTGGAAATTGCAACTAATTCAACTCTCAGCCTTAATGCTTAAGAAACCCCAAACAAAATAATGATGTGATAGGAAAACATATTCTACAGTTCACTGTTCAGAGTAGGTTATGGACACTGCTCAACTCTATTCTGCTATTGTACTCACAGGGTCAGGCTCTAAATGAAACGGCAGCAAAACAGGAAATAACTGCTACTTTGATTTCAGAAGAAAAAGGGGATGGAAAACACTAAGCTCGAAGAGCCTGCAGCAAGTGCAATAAACGAGTTTCTTCTTTTCTCCCCCTTACTTTGGAGAAGCCAACTAAGAGCCGGCAAGATGAGTGTTTTAGAACTTGCTAGTCACCCGCAGAACCACAGTTAGTCTCGCTTCTACCTACCAGCCTAGGACACCAGTGGCCATTTTGCTGTACTTCTGGTCAGTTCATCCATCTCAACTACCAACATTTTCATCACTGCTGTCTATCAAAACAAGTACTATTTAACCATGCTGCTCCAAATCCTTAAATGAATTAGCCTCTGCACTGTAGATGGACGAACGCATACCATTAACACTTAGCAAAATAACTTAACATATATTAATAGACGTTTACTTTTATGTAGTGTTCATATAAAGCTGTGCTATTGCATTTGTGTATCAGAAATTCCAAAATGTTAAACACATCTGCTAGTATTGAGTGTCTGAACATCAAGTGCAAAATTTCTGCATCTTCATTGATAACATCCGTAGAAATGTTTTAATTTTAATTTGTGAATTCTGCTCAATTGGCTTTTTTTAAGAGATTAAACTTTCTAAGCACACACATACAAACCCTTTTACTAAGATTTGCTCTCTGGAGCATAACATCACTACTGCAATATTACACTTTGCAAATTTAATTACTGGTGTTACACAACAATAATTGTAATGTATCAAAAATTCCCAACAACTTCAGGGGCTCTAGGTTCACAAAATTATCTTGTTCTGAATTAGTGGAATAAAGCTCTCTGATCAGGGAATCTGTGCCCTGAAGATGGTCAGAACATCTGAAGGTGAAGCGCCATATTTCCTTTGTGTAACATATATATTGTTTTGGTTTGTTTTTTTTTTTTTTTAATTTTTATTGCAGCATCCACACCTGGGTTTGTGTGCTGGGGAAAAGCAGGAAAAAGAACTGAACACAGGTCTGATGGGAGAAAATCAGAACTTTCCAGAAGTACGTAACTCTGTGATTGATTAAAAAAAAAGTTAACTAGGGATCTGGTGCCAAAGTTCTAGATCTCTATTTTCTGGTACTAAGCTAAGGAAAATTATTCTAAAAAAGAAGCTGTCAATTCTGTAGCACTTCAGCTACTCAAAGATGTGTATTATTTCTCTTGCTGGGGAGGAACAAAGCAAGTACGAAGCTAGTGTCCCACAAAGAAATAAAGCCTCAAAATGTTTGCTCAGTGGGATTTTCCAACACAGACAAGAGTTAAACCAAACTCAAGAAGTTTAACTCCATTAAAAAGAGAAGTATCTTATTTTGAGGTGTGCAGCAGAACTTTTGCAGACTCTTTTGCAATTCCCCTCTATGCCTGGATAATGGTATCTGCCAAGGCATATTTGGCATCAGATCCATTTACCAAGCAGCTGTTCAGAAATGACATTAGTTTAGTTAGCATTTAAAAACACTAGTGATTCCTATTACTATTTTTAAATCAAGACATTTATTTTTAGATTTATTAAAAAAGAAAATCTTGTATTTGATTGCACTCCATTGAAAAGTATCTAAGTTATTACAATGTTAAAACTAAGGTTTAAAAGAAAAAAGCGTATTTTTGGTTTTCTGAGCACAAGCAACATTAAATTAAGCCTGTGGTAAAAGCGAGCAGAAATTTAAGCATGAAATTTATGTGTGATAACTGTGAAGCAGAAGCAAGGCTTTCAATAGAACTTCGTATTTTTAAATAATTTTGGATATCCTTCAAGTATTTAATTAACAGTTATTTGCTCTGTTCAGTCTCGAGTAAGTAATTTACAATACCAGCCAATACAGTGGATTGTAAGTTGTTATTAGTTTCACCAAGTTTTGCAAAAGTAACAACACTATTGTTACTTTAACAATACATTATCCTGACAAACTGTTAAAAAAGCTATTTTTAGATTAATTGAACATTATAAAAGATTATAATGAGCTTAAAAATGCACTGGACTGAAGAACTTGGCCCATGAGGTTCTTGGTTTCACGAGGAATGGCAATTTATCCTTCCCTAAATCTGCCCCCAAACCTTGTGCAAACAGGATTTTTCGCCCCAACTTTTCACAGAAATCAGTCATATCCAAATGCAACTTTTATTGAAAAGGGGAGGGCAGGGGAAAAAGAGACACTGAAAACAGGTGGAGAGAAGGCTATACACACACAGAGGAACAAATCAAACAACTAACCAAGTAATAGAGGCTTTAAAAGTAGAGTAAAAAGTGTAAGTGCTTCTTAATACCTAGCTAAAGGAGTACTGTTGCTAGGCCGCTAAAACCACAAGTACCACGATGTTAGTAGGGAAAAGGTGAGGAGGGGGAGAAGTCTCCCTAACACATTCAGCTGAAAAAGCAGAAGTGGAGCTTATAAAAAAAGTTAGGAAATGCAGTTCAAGTCTGATCACTTCCTAAAACATTTAGGGCAAAATAATCAAAGCTGTTGCTGGGAATAAATTTTGATTCTCAGTTGTCAGAATAGACAGAATGCTGAATGATAAAAAATTACGATCAAACCAAAATAATACAATTCATGAAGAAAAGTGGTATTCTATTTACTTTTAAGAAGTCAAATAAAAAGTTTCAGTTTTTAAATGATTTATGATCTTCCATCATGGACAGATACTGTCTTCAGAAAAAGGATTATATTTTAATATAAATCATCTTTTGGGGGTTGGACTAGATGACCTTTAAAGGTCCCTTCCAACCCAAACTATTTATGATCTTTTTCTTACCTAAACACCAACGTTTTAGGATCTCACATTTCTCCTTTAGCAGCTACACACCATAAACCCCAAAACAGTAAAGGGAATACAGCTCCTTGCCTTATTTAATTCTTGTCAACTGTTGCAAAGGAAACCATACCTTGGATTATGTTGTGGTGAGTCAAAAAATTTCCGAGTTCAATGTTAGGTCTTGTGAAATTTTTACTGATGATTTTAAAATTTAAGAAACTATTTGATGAAAAGTTTTTCAATGACAAAAGCAGCTATTAAGCAAAATGTCAAATTCTTACCACTGTATTAAAAGTGTTTTAAGCAAAAAAAAAATTCCAACAACAAAATAAAAACCCCTACCCCATCGCTTTTACTTAAAGCACTTACCTGATAGAGCTCCTCTAAATTGTACTTAATTGAAGTACTGTTCTGGATAGCTTCTACAGCTTCTTTCAGTTTTTGCCATGTTTCATCTGTGTAGTTTTCAGGCAATTTAGGTTTATCTTTAAAAGAAATTATATAGAGTTTGAGAAAGTATTTAGAAAAAGCAGAACATTTTACCTTTTACAGAAATGAAAAACGTAGCTTTGAGAGGAAAGAGGTATGGACTGATGCTCTAGATTTTAATTTATGCTTACATGAAAAGAAAGCATTAGTGTAAAAGCAGTATCTTATTTACATGTGAAATAGTAACGCATTGTAAAAATTCAGTATTGCTCTTCAAATACACATCACAGCATCTGTAGCTCAAACAGTATGTGTGATTTATAAAAATCACAATACTGTGTCTGAGCAGCCCAAGATGGGATAAAAGGGTAAAAAACAGTAAGAATGATCTACATCTTCATTATACTCTTTTTCACTACCAGGACAGCACAGCTAAAAGAAAGTGAACATAAAATCCAAAAATGATGGATTAAAAGATAGAGAGTTGTGTAAAGCTTATTTTTTTAATTTATTGCTCATTAATTCTACTCTGTATTAACAGTTAGAAAGAAACCCTCAAGAAACATGCATGGAAATACTGTAATTATAATACAGGCTTTATGGTCGCAAGGAAAACCTTTCTATTTCAAACTAATCCATTTACGTCTCTCTGGGGCTTGGCCAGCAGATATTTGTTAGAGTTAAGCCCTCTTTTAATGTTCAAATAGCTCAAGCTTTGCAGATTTGACTCTTTCCGTTCTTTTTTTCAGCCTCTTTTCTAGAGATGCCCCTGCCACGCAGCATCTTTAACAAGACTAAAGCATTTACAACAGGCTAAGAGAGATTCCCCAAGTCACATCCTCAGAATACCAGGACTATTTTAAATTTCTGTGTGTTCTCATAACTAGCTAAAATGACCCTTTTTGTTCTAATAAGCACGTTCCCAAATGGAGAAGGAAGGAGGAGAAAATTTAGGGAGGAATTCACATGTACATCCATGCCACCAACAGGTGAAATTGGCCCAGAGTTTATACTCTGTTAAAATTGACTTTTATATACCTAACGGTAAAAAACAAGTTGTAAAGCTTTATGATTTCTCTAGAAGTAACAGAGAGAAGCAATTTTTTTTGTCCTCCCAAGCATTTCCCTACAATATTGGCAATATCCCAACATTAGCTGTACCGTAAGAATCTAGAGACACAACTAACTACAAGTAAGACTTGCCTATTTTCACTAGCAACTAATGAGTATGCTACTCAGGAGTAAATACCAAGATTCTGGATTTTAGGAAGTTATTTAAGTTGTAAAGGATGTTATTGCTGTCACACTAAGATAAAGACAGTAATCTTATTATTCAGTTTAGCATCTGAGAGTAAACAAAAAGCAAAGCTGGCAGATTCTTGAGACATCCTTTTTAGGCAAGTGATTCAAATACCAATTCATAAGCAATGATGATCACAGCACCATGCAATCCAAGACATTTCACAAATATCTTAAACGTGAAAAGTTGACTTCCTTTAGAGATAACAGTGTACAAGCAACAGAAGAGTGGCATTTACTTCTCACTATCACACATCATAAGTTTTAAAATAATCAGTCAAATTAAATGATGATGACATAATGGGCGGAGAACATTTTTGAGAATTAGGAAGACCTGAAAGCAAAAAGTTACACTGTGATCATGAATTGCTGTAAAACATTACAGTGGCTAAAATAATCCTAATCCTTACCTTCTGCGATATCTCTACAGAACATTTGTATAAATTAATTTTAATGTCAGTAATATCTTTTACCCCCCCCCCAACCCCAAACACACGGGGAAAAAGAAGAACAACCCAAGAAAGCAAGCTATCAGACTATTTTAGAAGATAGCAAGAGGCAGGGGGTAAAAAAAGCCCACGATTTCCCCATCTGTATAGGGGAAAAAATGACAGAATTTTAGCTAAGCTTTCTGCCTACACCTATTTGTATTTTTGTTTACTAGAAAATGAAGCAGCATCATCACAGCAGAGAAGTTTCATTTCTCTGCTTCAGTTGGTCTCTAGTAACAATATTCAAGAATCTCAAACACATCTTTTTTGAGAATTTATAAAATAATGTAAGCTTGTAAAGTGAGAGTTATGTTAAGACAGAGAATAGACATTAAAGAGTTGAATAATAAAAATTACAGCAAGGATATTGCAAGGAAAACACTCAGCAAAAATCTGAACTACCTACTTAGAGACAAGTGGGGAAACCAGAAAGGAAATCCACCATAATAGCCTGATAATCACCTTAGTTTCAACAATTAAAACTAAGCACAGGCAGATTAACCTATAAACAGACAAGATGGATAGAGGCAAGACATATAGATTCAGGCCCAACTTAAAAAAAATGCATTCTGTGCAAAGACTTATCATAAACTGGTCTAAAATATATACTAAGCCCTGAACCAGGATTACTAGAAAAGCAGTATCAAACGTTAAAAGTTTGAAGAAAGGCGATTTACACACTTAAGTAGTAAAACCTTTCATTTAACATACAAGTTAAGGCCTTCTCAACAGACAGAGTGAAAGGAGTCTGAAAAACAATCCCAAGCAGCGCAGTGTAGCTCAGGATGTGTACATGACTGGGCAAGTATGCATCATAAAACATTATTCCCCCTTTACATAAGTATAGAAATGTTCACCACAGAAAAGCATTTCCTGTAAAACCTGGAGCTATTTGAAAGCCAACCGGTTTTCATGTTGAAAACAAAACACAAGGTTGAGCGTCAGCTCCCCATAGGTTGTGACAAATTATGGCCTGTTACCTTTAAAGTTCTTGATCACTAATTTCTTAGCAGAGCCAGGTTTACTGTTGGCGAAACTGGAAACAGTAGAGGAGGCAGCTTTGGTCAGGCCATTTGCATGGTGCCCCACAGCCACTGATGAAATTAAAAGGCTTTTATTTTTGAGCTGTTGTTGGTGCTGCTGTTGAGAAGAGGCAGCAGGAGAGGAGGAGGAAGAAGACTCTTCAGCCATCTTCACATCGAGTCCAATAAAATCCACGGAGTCCTCAAAGCGCAGCTTCTTCTGGAGGTGATGGTTGGAGGAGGCAACCCCTGAGGAGGAGCACGAGGAGGTGGTGATGATGGAGGAAGATGATGAGGAGGTGTTTTTGGAAGGAGAAGAGGCGCAGGAAGAAATGGAATCAAATTCTTCTCTTTCAGAATTGCTGTTGCTGCTGTTATTTAACTTTCTCTTCTTGCAGGAGGAGCTGCTGCTGGTATTACCATCAGTGGCAGGTCTGACCTCCTGGGCTGCAGCTGGGGGGTTGGGGGAAGAGAAACCTGTGGGAAACATGAACACACAGAAGTGAACAGGCTGAGGGGCATCAAATCCTTGTGGTGTGACAAAGAGAGAGAGCGAGCGAGCTTTAGAGTCAGTCTCTGTTTGGTGTCTCTCGGGGGGGGGGCGGTGTCTTTCAACTCCTCTCTCTCATCAGTGGAGTCCTTCCGTATTCCCTCTCCTTCGCTTTCTTGTTTCTCGGAGGAATCGCTTTATCTCCTCTCTTCCCCTTTTCTTTATCACTTTGTTTCTTCTCGTAGTTTGTCTCTGCTTTCCTGCTTTTACTCCTTTCTCAGCGGGGCGTCTCTGCGCCTGCCTCTCGCCACCCACTAGCTTCTTTCAATTCTTCTCTCCAACACCAGTATTCCCCCACGGCTGCCCGCTCCCCCGGCTTTTCCTTCCGCTCCCCTCCTGCTCCGGCCGCCGCGTCTCCGCCGAGCAGCAGCGGGCTCCCTCACGCCTCGGCT